TTAGAAAGTCGTTCATGGTGGCAAGAAGGGGCAAAGAGCTCCATTTTGTAAACATTTTCTGAGCCGTGAAAAGGAGTGTCGGGGAGTTGGTCCGGCTTCAAGAATTGAACTCTGGAGGTGGGGCAAGACAGATCTGTTGGCAGATGTGAGCACAGAATATGAGAGTTTACTTAACCGACGGACCGCATGTACTAGGCAATTCATATATATGATCTATAAACAAAGAATAAGGTTTTAGAAGACTAGGGACTCACTTGATTCAGTTCATGGGCTATTTATCTATTAGAGGCCAAAACTGGTGAGGGGCTTGATATCTGAACTGTCCCATTTGCTCGCAATTTTTGATGTTGCTCATTCTCGGAGAGCCATTGCAAAAACTCGAATAAAAATAAAAGGTATATTTACCCTAGATCGCATAAGGAAGTGAAGAACTTTAGTTGAATTTTAAAATGAATAAGCCCCATCTTTTCATTGAATTTCACACATCCTTGCTTCCCATTAGGTGTTCTCATCTGGGATATACAGCCGCTTACACCTCGCATGCGCCTCACTAACATATATATATGTGAAAATTTTGAATTTCTGAATTGCTAATTTGCTCTTTTATTCTATCCGTCCGTCGGATTCATTGCTCATTCTCCATTAGTGTAAATACCACCGCTTTTTAGTTTCTGAATTAAATATTCCTTTCTATTCATATATAGACCTCTATCTTTTTTTCTAAGAATTCTTGCTACAATATGTTGCGTAAGGTGTTGAGAGATAGTCTCGAAGCTATACTTATTATGTATTCCTTATGTTTTTAGTCTAGCGAGTTGAAGAACTAGAAGTGGCCACCTAATGGGCCAAGATTGTCTTAAAATAATCTAGCATAGAATTGCATGATTCACGATTTATTATTAAAACTCTAAACAAATTATTATGGAAGAGCTACATTGCGCTACATCCTAACCTGAGGTACTCATTGCACAATTAATTTTGATGCAAAAATTCTTTTTAATCTATTGAAAACAAAATAAAAATCGTCCATTTTCATTGGCGAAGTCGAACATTCAAATACTTAAAATTAGCCCTTGTCCTGCCATAAATTGCATGTATTTGGCTTTTATGTTGGATATTTATACTATAATAAGCTCTTTGAGCTTACTTTGCGCTGTAAATAAGTCAGAGAAAGACCATTAGATAAAATCTTGTAAAATGTATCTTAGAATGCATAATTTATTTTGGAATTTATTTATTTTATATATGTTTATTCTTCAAATTGAAATAGTGTTATTTTAAATCAGTGTATTGGACGTTTTTATCTATATCTTTTGATTATTTGAATGCTACGAAAAAATCCTTCATCCTGGATGCAAAGTTGAGTATTCTTTTATTTATTTTTGCCCCGACTTTCTTATCTAGATCGTGCGCGCTGACCTACGGGATTTAGCCGATCTTGACCTGGAGGGCGCACCATATGGCTACACTCCATTCTGTGACTCCCGCCGCGAGATGGATGGATTTCGTTTCTGGCTTCAGGGTTATTGGGCTGGACACCTAGCTGGCCGAGCTTATCATATCTCAGCTCTTTACGTCGTTGACTTAGTGCGTTTTAGACAGATGGCTGCCGGCGACCGTCTTCGTGGCCAGTACCACGGGCTGAGTCAAGACCCCAATAGCCTGGCTAATCTTGATCAAGACCTACCCAATAACATGATGCACCAGGTAGTTACCATTTTTTCGATTAGCTGAAGCCTTCCTGCTTTATACAGGCCATTGACTTTACTCAGACTTTCAATGTAACCCTTTATATTCTTATAAATTATCCCTTTTTAGATTAATGCGGGGCATTCACATTTTTATTTGACTTCATATTTTATTCATACCACTTTTTTATTTAAGTATTCATCTTAGTTATCTTTCTGCTATCTCAACTTCATTTCTCCTGATAACTAATTTTTTCACTATAGATTTTGAGAAAATCAACCAATAAATTCTTACTTGAGTGTAGAATATTTGCCTATTATTACCGTTAATATTATTTTTAGTAGTTGGATTCACTATTTTTCTTATGCCTTCGCTTACTTGTTTTTTGACCTTGTTTTTTTTCTGTTCTGATAACATTTTGCTACTATAATATCAATAAGGCATGCAATGATGAAATAGTCGAATTACAAATAGACGGGATTTATGTTGAAGTACCTTTCATTTAGTTTGAAGATGCGAGTGGAATGGATTCGTAATTTGGTCTCACCTGAAGCTATAGGAAGATTGCCTCGAAGCTGTAATTGTAGATTTTTACGAATACCTTCTCGGCGCACTGCCCTGAGAGATCTATGAATATTTGCTGACATTTTATTTGTCATGTATCGGACATCATCAGATCAGGACATCATGCTTCATTAAAACCACGATGGCAAGAAAGGTGGCCGGCTTCGAACTTACCTACTTTTTATAGTCCAATTTGGTCCACTTAGGTATCTCACGTTTTGGTTGGATATCCTATACCTTGCCTGAATATTTGTTTAGAAGTTAAGTTAACTGGCTACGGATTCAGCAAAGATTCACCGTGGTCATAGGGCGGTGTTCCGAGGATCTATTCGCACAAATCTACAATCACAGCTCCAAGCCAATATCCTTACAGCTCACAGTGAGACTTACGAGTCCCTTCCACTCGCCTCTGCAAACGAAATGAAAGTAACTTTAATATCAATCTATTAAAGGTTTCTTCGAAACCCAGTTTTTCTACAGCCGGTATTTATATAAATTGTGTTTTTCAACGATAAACCAAGCTCACTTGGTTTCGTGCGCCTTCTTGTAGGACTTGGTTGAAAATTATAAAAAATTGTTTTAATGTCTTATCTTCGTTATACTTTTTATTGTTGGTAAGCGAAGTGCATCCTCTGCTCTTTTTGCCCTTGAATATCACTTACTCAACCCCTAGCTCATCAGTCGACCATTGAGTAAGTGTTGATGAATTATTTATCAAAAGTATGTGATACATAATTTTTTCTTCATGTATTTTCCAGTCCGTTCAATTAACTAAAATTCATTTAGTCCTTTTTAGTCTTGTTGGCTTGTAGATTCGGCTGTTATTCATTGAACTGAACATTAACTAGACTAAATACTAGCTGTTCTTCTGTTGTTTCCCTGTCTATTAGGTTCCCATAAAGTCCTTACCACAGGAGTGGTTGTGGTGTGAGACCTGGTGCTCTGACGACTCTAAGTCAAGGGCAAAGACAATTGATATGTGCAATAACCCTCTAACGAAGGAGCCTAAGTTGTCCGCAGCTATGCGTATCGCCGAAGAATGGGTACCTACAGATAATGAGATTAAGACCTTTATCCAGCGCGTTCGCACACAACGCCTTCATGTGAACGAAACAATAGCCAAGTCGTCGGGAAATGAGACTAAAACCGACTCTTATGATCAAGGCAAGTTTTATAATGATAATGTTGTATTTATTGCTTTTTGTGACCTTTCTGAGCTCATCTATGATGCATCCAATTAATGATTTTATCCAGGATGCACGCCACTATCTAATTATTTGATTATTATGACGTGTGTTTTAAAATACTGGAATCTCTTGTTTGAGAAGGCGGATGCAACGGATTCATAAATTGGCCTCACTGGAGGGTTGCCTTGGGACCTTCTTCATTTAATTGTGTGAAGAAGACCTCGACTCATCATCCTACTACCAGGATGCTTCCGTGCTTAGCTTTCGTCAGTCATGTGACGGACCTTGCAAGAGCCATATACCATTATTCACGGGCAATCACTAAAAACACGAAACCAAAAAAGGTGGCTGGCTGAAATCCTACTTGTTATATCTTATTTACGACCTTAATGAAGCATCCCATGATTGGCTTGTCCTACCCGTATGATTCAAGAAAATGAGCGGCTATGGTCACAACTTTTATCTACGTGAATAAACTGGCGTATGATTCTGTATTCATGGGGCTTGTTTTAGCTTCGTGGTTGGTAATTTTAAGTCCAAAAATCAGACCCCAGCTTAGTCGAGTCTTCTCTTACTCGGTGGCTTTTCCTATTTATTCTCTTTTTCTCTATATATATTCAACTGCCAGAGATAGTTCTTGGTTAACTTCCTACATTCGTTCCCCTTATTCGGGATGTTCTTTGTTTTGTTACTTTCGATCGACTCCTTGATCTTCCGCTTAGCTGTGAAGTTCCCATATCTGGCAAAACGTTGGGATTTAAACCATTACCTTGTGTCCTTTAGTGAACACATGTCCATCCACCTATTATGAATCATAAGCTCGTGAAGGCGATTTTTGTGTTTGGATCGGCAAGTCTCCCCCACATTAACTCTGCAGAGGGCGAAGGGGGATTGCCTTGGATCTGCGACACTAGATTTGTGCAAATAAGTCCTTGGCTGACCGCCTCGTGATCTAGGTGAATCCTTGCTAAGCTTTCGTCCATCATTTGACGGACATCGTCGGAGCAAGACAATGTACTTTACGATAATTCACCAAGCACAAATACAAAGAAAAGTGGCCGGCTGCAATCCTACCTACTTTTTATTGCCTAGTTGTTATCACTTAGAGAGACATATCATGACTTGGGTGGATATCCTATGCTTTTCCTAAGTGCTGTTGAAAAGTGAAGTGGCTGCGGATGAAGTGTGAAGCGAATATAGTTGTGACTTGATAGCTGCATCCCCTGTAATATTGCCGCATGTGATTGCATTCTGTTGCACATGTGCTACACCCATCCAATACTCGTGAGACGCGTGGATTATGAGGGTGAATCCCATTTTAAAGCTAATCAAGCCTCCTCTTGCTCGGCGATATTTCGCGTTTCATCCCACTTTCTCTTTAATACTACTATCTAGCAGCCGTAAGTAATTTTTGAATAATTTCCTACACACTCCTTTTCAAGGTGTTGGCTGTTTTATTGATTTCTATAGACTCCCTAATCTTTCGCTTGCTAATATAGTCTCTACCCAGCTAAGTGTTTGGCTTTAGAACATTCTAGCTGGTGTCCTGTGTGAGTTGTGCTTGGCCGGTTCTAACTGTTGGACCCACAAACCTTGTAGGCTACTTTCTGTTCAGATTTCCTCTTATTTATGGGTCGGCAGGTCTCCACCACAGCCGCTACTACTTGAACCCAAAGCTTTATAGCAGCCCGATTTGGGTAGCGGGTCCGAAATTTCTTGAAAAGCTGACATTACTGGGGAAAGTGTTAGTTGCTACTAATACATTGCCCTGATATACCACTTTCTCAGTAATTCATTTATCTTTTTCGAGTCCTTCATTATAAAACATCATGAGCATACATGCAAGCATCACCTACACCACTTTGGTCGCATGAATCTCTCGTATACCATAGAGGTGCTGATTGTAATGAATGAGATCACTATAACGGTACATCCTTGATAAAAAAACCTTTTGGATGACTAGGCGTCATGGGGGTCTACTCATTTCATTGCGGGACATCTAACTTAATATTTGCAGCAACCTAGAATAAATTTGAAGTGGGTTGACCTCGTTGTCACAACTTGGTCTTGTGTTCAGGGAGACTATGTAGAACGCACCGAGTCCTCCTCGTTGTCGCAACTTGGTCTTGTTGCCAGGGCGACTATGTAGAACGCACCTAGTCCGAAGTCGTCTGCGTAGTAGTTGTCTTGACTTCTTAGCATCCCGGCTGTGGACTAGATACATTCTCAGACGCTTCGCCGGCCTCGTAGTCGGCATCATCAGTGAGCCTTGCCATTCTCCGCACCAAGATACGAACTCG